GAGTTCTATAATTATGAGACAGTTGAAATTCAACAGTTTGCACTTTCATTCATTAATGATAATTGGTCGAATTTAAACAAAAGTTTCACATGATAGACTGCTACTGTACATCCATAGATATAGTATTATATTAGGAAGGAAACATTATTCTGTCGAGAAAGTCTTTATTGTTTTGGAACTCGAAAGGTATGCTATAATATTGAGACGCTCTGTACATGGAGAGAACATTGAAAGTGGGAATACATAGTAATACGTAGAACAAGAGGCCGAACAATTTGAAATCTGTAATGCACCAATGAACATATCAATGATTCTAATTTAGGATAGTTCTAATTTCCAGATTAGGAACGAGAGAAAAGCTGGTCGGTTCAGAAAAAAAACAATTCTTTATCTTTTGAAACGGTTGGAAATGTCAAACGGCAAAAGCTGCACGCAAATGCTTCGTATAGCAGCGACCTTTCACAAATTCATCACGTGGCACCGTTGGAGAGGGGTCTTCCGATGAGTTTGTAAATACATAACTGAACGGCACGCTCCTCCCTCCTTACGGAATTTCTTGAGGATGGATAAGTGAAAAATTCTGGACCACTTCCTTGACATAGATCATTTACAGTAGAATGAAATTTGTGCAAGACTCAACCGCACGATGATTCTTTCATGGAGGCATAGGGGATCAGAGTATCTGTGCAAAACTTTTTGGACTAGAAAATTGATGGAAATTGATTTCAATTTCCATTTGACATCGATTTGAATAGTATAATTTAAACAACAATGAAAGCAAGCCACGAAAAAGATTTTTCGACCAAAAGGCTTTACATGTTGGAAGGTCAATATGATTAAACTTACGTATTCTGCTTCTACGAGAAGTGATTAGGTCGAATTCCGGTTCCATTTCTGAGAAAACAAAATTGAAATTCAAAGCGAAGATTAAAAACCCACTTTTTTGCTAGTCCCAATCTTCTAATAGTCGTCAAAAATCAACCGAGCCATATATTGGAAAATGGCACAAAACAGTTTTTTCCCAATATCTCGAATATACAGGAAAAGACATGCAAAGAATGTCAAAGAAAATTTTGTAACAGGTGTATTTTTTAACTTGGATAATCCTGAAAGTCAACTTTTCTGCACGCTTAATGAAAAAGATCTTGGTCGAGATATGCTTACTAAATAGAGGATTCTTCACACTACTTCTGTCGGTGAAAAACAGAAAGTCGAAAATTGAAAAAATTTTGGTCGAAAAACGGAGACCATGCCCTTAAAATAAAACATCAAACTTTTGACGGTGACAGGCTTTCTGCTACATCCCATTCGATGATAATAATCAACGAATCAGTAGTAGTGCCTGACATATCTGACTCTTACTTTGAGCGTTACTTTCCAAAACACGTAGTCTTTCTGATCATTGTCAACTCTACGAACGTAGACACCGATCAAATCTGTCAGTTTATTTCTTTTGTGAGCAAGCTCATTTGCTTCGTATTCAAGACGTTTCTCGCGGCCCAATGTCTGAACAGCTTTGGTAGTGACTGCTAGTTGAAATCGAATACGTACGGCAGGATCTAATAATTCTCGGGGAAATTTTCGTTGTGGAGCGTCACTGCGTCTTCCTATTCCAATTCTAACTTGTTCCGGCTTTTCACGAGCTTCTAGCCATAAAACGGCTTCTTGCTCAAATATTGCCTCGAGTTCAAGAAGTTTTACCGTTGCATTTCGATAAATAACGCCTCCCGAACTTTCACAAAGAACACGCAAATGATTAATTATCTTATTGGTGTCAACATGCATCATTCCAGCTTGAGTTTCTCGAAAGGAAATAAGATCAATGGTAACATTTGCTCGTTGAATACGACGTTTCAAATGCTGTAAACCTAGCGCTGAGCGATTGTTGATACCATCAGTGATGCACAGCATCAATTTATTGCATTTTCCTTTATTCCCGTAGTTAAAATCGTAGGTTTCTATTTGTTTCAATCCGTCTTCGATAGCACCATAGATGTTTGTCAAATTTTGTATGTCAGGTGGTATTTTGCGCACGGCCTCTTCGAATTTATGTGCACTCTGCGTAATTGGACAATGAATTTGCGTAATTTTACCAAATAACATTAGTCCAATAGCATTCGGGCGTGGATGCTTATGTAAATTTCGACTGAGTTTTATTAGCATCTTTTTACTGATATCAAGTAGACGCACCGGTTCGAGGTTCTCTTCGACTCTTCGCTCGAGCTTTGAAGCACTGATGTCTAATATAACAAGTGTGATTTGCTCCACTGGTGGTGCAAAATTTCTTGGTTCAAATGTAAAGTGCAGCTGGGGTCGTAATGACGGTGGTAATTTAGGATCGAGTCGTTCCGGATCACAATAAAAGATATTCGATAAGCGAACAGTTATATCGGTTTTGAGGTGTCCATTGCTTGGTAAGAAGCATGTCAACTCATAGTCGACATTTCCGTCGTCCAAGGATACTTGTTTGAATGAGAGACATATGCACACTTGTCTACTACGTAATAATAAGAGTCGGTCCTGTAAAATATGAGTGCCATGTTGAATTACGTTCTCAATCGAATTTTGAGTTAGCATCGAAAACTGTTGGAAATCAGATGTCGTCACTGTTGATGGAAATGCTGGCTGCTCCTGTGCAAGGCGGGATAATTCTGTTGAATATGTTTCAGGCCAACTGTCAATTGTATACGAATCAATTTTACATTGAAGTTGAACATTATTCTTGGCAACTGTCCTTAAGAATTGAATAAGCGAAAAAATGTCTACGAGCCTCTTGCTCTTCAACTGCTTACATTCTTTACTCTCGTATATAAGATCCTCATTATAATTAGAATCCAATACAATTACTGGGTCATTGAAGTAGCGTACTACTTCGTTTTCATTAGAATATGTGAGACGATATGTCGTAAATACGTCTTGAGTAATCTTGATACCACCACAGTCCACGAATAATTTACTTATTAAATATGGTGTGCAAGTTCCCAATAAATACTCCGGAACGAACTTGGAATAGAGTTCAGATAGAAGTTGAAGCAAACAGTCGGCTAGAAGCGTTTTCTCGTACGAAAATATTCTACCTTCTAGTAAATGCTTGAGGGTGGGTGTGGGTGTAGGTGTAGGTGTGGATATTCTCTTGATTCACACCCATCCCACTCACACCCCACTTACACCCACACCCCACCCACACCCACCCACACCCACACACCCACACCCACCCACACCCACACCCTATAGGACGAGTAGTTAATTATCGATCGATGGAAACTTTAATCGAAGATGATAACATAAGTACCATAGAAGATATAGAACCTTATATTGCAAGTCATTCTGCAATACACCAACATGAATTAACATATAAACATAAGATTAATTGGGAAGATTGGGAAATCATCTCAAAGGACTCTAATTCTTATCGATTACGTGTACGCGAATCACTTCATATTCTGGCAATCCAACCAGAATTAAACAAAACTGTCTCATCTGTTCCTCTGATAATTCATCCTGAAGGACTGGGCAGAAGAAAACCAAAAGTTAAAATTAAATTAAATAATGATTAATATCACATGCCGGGGGAGGGACACGCTAGTGTATATCGATATACACTAGATTATTCTATTTACTAGTACTTATGAATCATTGGATGAGTCATTCTAAAAAATTTTTTTACTATATATATGTATAACATTGTTAAAAAGTTTTTATATTGTCTTGATAATGTCGAGTGAATCGACGAAACGTCGACAATTTTTTCATTTAAATTAAAAAATAAATAAATAAAGATGAAACTTAAAGCTGCTGTAATAATTATAATGTTCATAAACAAATTTTTGCCCATTACTAAAATCAATTATATCAGATTTCATCCGTTTGAGCTGAAATTTTTACTGTGGGTAGACGGACACAATCGGGGTGGGCGGTTTTTTTTTTTTCAAAAATTCCAAATACTTCAGGCTGGAGAACCAAAATACTGAGCACCTTGCAAAATCTCTAGGTTTTTTGGATCCTAAAAATTTTGCGAAGCCTGCCAAACTTGATTGGTAGAAGGTATCCAAAAAAAAAAAAAACGCCCAACCCAAATCACTTGAAGTCTCACCAAAACAATTTTCAGCCCGATCGGACTTGAAATGGCGGAGAAAAAGGGGGAAAACTTCTTTTTTTTGCTGAAAAAACTGATTTGGAGAAAAACACAAAGAAATTTGTGTTTTTTGGTTTTTTCAGCATATTTTGTGATTTTTTTCAAATTTTTTATATTTAAGATGTGGTTTTTCAGTTCTCAAAGTGTACTCAATGGATAGAGGGCATTTAAATCTATATACTAATCACAAAAAATGAAAAATCTGAAAATTTTGAGTCGGGAAAGGGGGGGGGGTCCCCTTAACAAGCATAACGACATTGAATAAAAAAACTAAAAATTCTGTCCGTTACGGAATTTTAACGGTTACGAAATTTCATCTTTTTCTGACGTTCTATAGGGAAGGTTTTAGGGCTATTAGATTTTCAATTGTCATAATAAAATTTCATCTTCTTCCTGATACGCAAGTAGTACTAAGAGAGTTTTATCGTTTAAGTAATTAAGTTTTATTCTTACAACAGAATCACATTAGAACTGCTGTCCACTTTTCTGACAACAATGAAATTTAGCAAAGTGTCAAATCATACTTTTTTGATGAAATTAGTCAATAAATCTCTCTTTTAGATATATAATGGGAGAAAAAAGGGGTTTATATCACTCGTCTAAAGCACATCTCATAGCTTGCAGCATGTTTGATAATCTGTTGAAAGCATACTTTCGATTGTAGAAATGCTTTTCTTTATTTTTCGGTAATTAAACCTTCCTCATAGATGGTTGACCGATGGCCGTTTTTGCCGTAATATCTTGTGCCACTTGATAAGAATTTCTTTCAGCAACATCGAAATTACTAGCTAATCATGGTCGCTATACACACTCTGAAAGTAGTGAATAGCAATGTGAACAAAATTTATTGAGAAAAAAAAAGAATTTACATCTTCTTTTTTACAAGATAAATACCTGTCATCACATTTTTAATATTAGGATGTGAAGGTGGAAGTGATTTTTGACACATTGCAAGTGCCTTTTCTAGAAATGAAAGCGCCTTTGAGTAGTCACCCATGTTGTCATACACTTGACTGATGTTGTTATACAAAGTAGCCAACTCGGGATGATTCGTAGGCATAGTATTTTCTTTGATTTTAAGCGCTTTGTCGTAGAATTCAAGTGCTTTCGAATGGTCACCCATATTATTATACACTAGGCCCATGTTGTTATATGAAGTAACTAAATTCGGATGATTTGGAGACAGTATGTTCTCTTTTATTTTAAGTGCTTTGTCGTAGAATTCAAGTGCTTTGGAGTAATTGCCCATATTGGAATACACCAAACCGATGTTGTTGTAGGAAATAGCCAAGTCGGGATGATCCGAAGGCAAAACGTTTTCCTTTATTTCTAGTGCTTTTCCATAAAATTCAAGTGCTTTTGAATAGTTGTCCGTGTTGTTATACACTAGACCCATGTTATTATAGGAAGTAGCCAATAAGGGATGATTCGGCGGCAGAGCTTTTCCCCAGATATTGCATGCTTTGTCGTGAAATTCAAGTGCTTTCGAATAGTCACCCATATTCGTATACATTAGACCAATGTTGTTGTACAAAGTAGCCAACTCTGGATGATTCGGAGTCAGAATTTTTTCATTTATATTGAGTGCTTTGTAGTAGAATTCAAGTGCTTTAGAGTAGTTACCCATGCTGCTATACACTAGACCAATGTTTGTTTTGATAGTAACGAAATTGGGATGATTCGATGGGAGAGCCTTTTCTTTTATTTCAAGTGCTTTTTCGAAAAAGTCAAGTGCTTTCGAGTAGTCACAATTCTTATAATGCACTAGACCGATGTTGTTGTAAGAACTAGCCAAATCCGGGTGATTCGCAGGAAGAGCTTTCTCAATGATTGTACGTGCTTTTTCAAAGGAATAAAGTGCTTTTACATAGTCACCCATTTCGGTATGCACTCCGGCAATGTTGTTGTAGGAAGTAGCCAAATCAAGATGACTTGGAGGCAGAGCTTTTTCTCTTATTTTAAGTGCTTTGTCGTAAAATTCAAGTGCTTTCGAGTAACTCCCCATGTTGTAATATACTGAACCGATGTTGCTGTAGGTAGGAGCTAATGAAGCATCATCTTCCGAGAGTGTTTTTAGCTCAATTTTGAGGGATTTTTCGTAAAATACTGCTGCCTCTTTGTATTTTCCTTGGTCCCGTTTCACCCATCCAAGTTGGTGATAGAAATATGCTCTATTACTGTCATCGGTTTCCTGCTCTAGTAGTGCGTTATATAATTCTTCGGCCTTGTTGAATTGACCAATTCTTATCAACAATTTACCCAATCGTATACAACCTGTCGGACCTGAAACTTCTTGTCGTATAAGTTCTGTCAGTTGACGAAGTTGTTTGTCATCGTCTGATGTAAGTTTAAGGTCTACTTCATACAGTCGGACATTGTTGGCAATTTTTCGGACTTCTGCAATTCGAAAAACAGTGTGCATGGAAAACAGTATTTCATCTTCTGTGTTGAAGTAACTTTCCTCCTGGATAGATGCAAATGGAGTCGATGAGACGTTGGGATCTATGAACATTTGAAAAAGAATACCCACCATATCAGGCTCTCCTACGGCAGCTTCGGCGAAACTGAGCGAAACATTTCGATTTGTGCTGGTAGATAAAAAGTTATTAAAGGATATAAGTCCACCATTGTTTTTCTTGAGCTTATTGAGGTCGGCTGTCGATAACGCCTGCCCACGGTAAAGAGTAAAGGTCTTTCCATTATAAAGACTGATCTGTTTCTTGTATAAACTTTCAATTTGCCGATGAATATCAGAAAGAAAAAAACCCATTCGTATAATGATATCACCGTCGAGTGTTCGTAATGCCAAATTGAGCATCTGATACACGAAATACTCACGACTATACCACCAAATTGATGATTGTGGACAATAATCACGTTCGAACTCAGCGATGTCGTTCAATTTAGGGGTATTGTTGATGTATTCGTTACGCCAAAATTGAATAAACTTTGTGATGGCCTGTTGATCATGTTTCATATCAAGGAGAATTTCCTTGAATATTTGCGAATACATGAATGAGGGCTCCAGTTGATCGAGACTTTCGCTATAACCTCCTTCATTCGCACTAATAATACTGATCGACATATTATCTTGATTGCATTGCTTGACAGCCATTTGTAATGCTTCGCAGATGGACTTGATTGATGTATAGACACCTTTAATTTTTGCCCAATTTCTTACCCATGCTTCATGTTGTTGCTTGTTGCTGCAAATGATGTAAATACTATCAAGATCAGGAATATCATGGATGAGATGCACCATTGATTGGCCCATAGTACTCGTTACAATAAGGAACACCTTTTTGTCAATTGTATTAGTAAGGAAGTCTATACATTCATCGCGCCGGGTGAAAGTATGAACGTCATTGGCTACGATTTGCAGTTGCACAAGTGTATTTCGACAATCTTCATTGGCTAGGTCAATGTTTCCATCCAACCAGACGATCAAATAATTTTCTGCCATGTGGCGTCTTCCTCCCACAGTAATCGATGAGCTGTTGTATTAGTGATGGCACCCAGTCTTGATTTAGAAATGTTTCGTTTGGATTTTGGTCCACTGAAATTGAGTATGAACTGTAGTTTGATCGTTTACTGAGAATAGTGAATAATAGATTGCTGTTTGAACGATGATCACTGTTTATATTTATTCAATGGCTGCCTTCTGTTGCGTTCCTCGATTTTTCAACGTCGTCAAATGTGAATGCTTTTCTTTCGTTGACACGTACCAATAAACTTCACTAACTTTAATTAAAAATATGATTTCTACAACAACAGAAAGCGAAAGACTTAAATAATGTTATTCATTTTATGGCTTTTCGTCTTCGTAGTAGGTTATGGCTGTGAGTGCGGGGGCATGCGCATTGGCTGTGAGTACGGGGGCATGCGCATTGGCTGTGAGTGCGGGGGCATGCGCATTGGCTGTAAGTGCGGGGGCATGCGCATTGGCTGTGAGTGCCGGGGCATGCGCATTGGCTGTGAGTGGGAGCGGGGCTGTCGGTGTAGCTGTTGGTATATCTATGGGTGAGCGCGTGGGTCGGTGTCACTAGGCGTGCTCCTTATCTTTGAGCCATAGCCACGCTAATACTCATACTCACACTCAAGCTCACACTAATAAGCACATCCACATGGAAACCCTCATTCCACACCCTCCAAAAACAGGCAGTGTTTTTCCAAAAAAGTTGATGGAATTTAACTAGGGATGTACCGAGACCGAGAGCTCGGTCTCGGTGCGTCTCGGTCTCGGCTCAGTCTCGGTCTCGGTCCGTCTCGGTCTCGGTCAGTCTCGGTCTCGGTCAGTCTCGGTCTCGGTCCGTCTCGGTCTAGGTCCGTCTCGGTCTCGGTCTGTCTCGGTCTCGGTCTCGGTCTCGGCCAGTCTCGGTCTCAGTCTGGGCTTGTCTCGATCTCGGTGTGTTTCGGTCTCGATATCATTGAGTTTCGTTATGTGACGTAGTGACACAAGTTTTCTTTACTTGGATGAACATTTTTCTCTGAGGATACCCTATGAGACTTAAGGGAAGCTTCATTAAGAAATGTTCCTCTCGGCTCTATCTAACACTTTGCATAAACCAACAGTCCGATCAAGTCCAGGAATGTCCGAGAGCCGATCAAAATTTATGTGTTTTTTAGCTTTTCAGCTAGACTGATGTAGGGATATACCGAGACTGAAGACTCCCTGACAAAGATGGAAACTTTTCTCTAAGAACTTCCAGAACTTTAGGAGATCTTTATCTAGAGTTGCTCAACTTGACTTAATTTATATATACATACGAATGCACAGACTAATTATGAGAGTAAAATGCCAAGTCTTGGCCAGTCTCGGTCAAACAGTTGAAAAAAACAAAATTTTGACCAAGGTTGGCCGAGACTCGACCTTTTACTATTGTAACCGAACTGTCCAGTTGTATGCACATATAAATTAAGTCAAACTGAGCACCTATAAATAAAAATCTTGTAGTCTTGAGGATTTCTCTTAGAGAAAAATTGCCTTCTTTGTTAGTGTATCTTCAGTCTCGGTACATCCATATCTACATATCGCTCTTTAGTAAAGGCAAGTGTGATATCAGCTTTATTCGTAACGTCTAGAATTCGATGTGAATCTCACAAAGATTTAATTATTCTTCTTCGTATACAGCATAGGTGGGCAAAATTGTTTTTAAGAAGATTACCGTACCTCGAATGGCAATTTTTTGTAAGTTGAAGCACTGTCTTAACTCTAAGTTATGAAACCTTCCACATCTAGGGTCAGGCAGTATAGAAGTCATATATAAGATTTGGTATAAAAGAGAAAGATTTTATTTTTAGAATTTATTATCTAAATACCTTTGCTCAAAAGAATATGAAAGGAAGAAGTATTCATAAAAAACAGCATAAGTAATGTCTCTTTCAACCATTTATTCGGTATACATTCTCTTTTTTAAATTTAGTATAATGATCCACATATTGATCGATCTTCTTGCTTTAGAATCATCCTTACATTATCTTTCATAATGGAACGATATCTATCGATAATAAATGTATGCTTCTTCGGTCCATTTTTTTCTTTTTTCTTTTGTTATCATTCTTCTCCTCATTCTTTTAAAACGAAAAAAAGCATTATGTAATGTGGTTCTCTGCCTCTTATTCCGTCTCATGTTTTTTTTATAGCTATTATGAAAGTACTACTGAGAAAAGAAGAGTAAAGATGTCATTGATGTGCGACGTTACATTATAAAAGAAGAGAGGTTTCCTATTTTCTGAGAGACATCTTCTAACATAGCAATGCTGAAGGCAGATGGTCGATCGTACTATTGAAAACTAAACCAATACAATACTATTGTGAGTGAGTGATGAGCATCTAACAGCTACAAGCAGTAGGTGAAAGTCGCTGCATAATGTAATCCTTCCATTATCATTATTATTTTTAACTAAAAACAATAATCAGCCATTTAAGTATGAATAATACTTTTTTTCCAAAGGAAGTCTATAAAGTGGAGACCAATTCAAGATATATTATTGTTTCGATAGAGGCTAGACAAAATGAAGTAGAATAGGAAGATTATTCAGAACCTTTAAGAATGGTTCTTTGTGTGTCAAGATACCATAACCATGATAAAAACTAACTTCTGATTACTGTATATAATAGCACAACACGCGTACACTTCGATATATTAAGTTTTTCCATCAAAAACCAATTTTTGAAATTCCCTCACTAATAAGGTTATAAGGTGAAGATCAAAATTTAACGAGACCATGAAATGTACTGTGATTGAAATTTCATCGATACAGATAAAGATTTCTCGTTTTCAAAAACCGCCAAGACTCTGCAAGACGTTTGTTACTAATTGATCACCTTACTTTCATCTAGCTGTGCGTACTAGGGGCAGCTCGATCATGAAAGAAAAAGAACAAATTAAAGTGCATTCCACTCGAAAACTTCAAAAATTTTCATCGAATCTAAATAAGGTGTAGTCTTTTCCTTTCGTGATCCGCCTGTTCCTATGTATACAAAGCTAGATGAAAGCAAACGAATCAATTAGCAAGAAACGTCTTGTGGAATCTTGGACATATTTGAAAATGAAAAATTCTCATCTATATCAATGAATATTTACTCTCGGTACATTTCTAATCAGAACCATAACCGAGACCGAGAGTCTCGTCCGAGACTACCGAGACCGAGCCTGAACGAGACCGAGACTAGCCGAGACCGAGGCTGACCGAGACCGAGACTGACCGAGACCGAGACTAACCGAGACCGAGACGGCTCGGACCGAGAGTCTCGGTTCAGTCTCGGTCTCGGTACATCCCTAAATTTAACTCTTGTGAAATGGGCGAATTTTTCATGTAACAACTTTTATTCTGCTGTTTTGCTTTAGCTGCATAGAGATACTTTTTGGTCAGTATAGTATCTGTTTAACTTGGCACAAAATCACATTATGTATTCGCTCGCTCAGTGATAAGAATGTTAGGAATTTTTTGTCTTCGCTATAAATGCGAGGAAATAAAATAAAAGTTATTTAGAATAATATT